TCAGATTTCCTTTGTTTGACCATCACATTCTGCATTAAGTCACACCATAAGCAAAAGGCTTAGAAGAAAATGAGTTTCAAACAATTACAGCCCGGGTTTTGAAGATCTAGCAACATAGTATTCATCACTGTAACTGATTTCTCAAGAGGGATGGGAAACTTTTTGTATGAAGGACCATGCTCATGAATAGAAAAGTTGAGGGCAAACTGAAAGCAAATAACAGTGGATATTCAGATATTGTTTCTTGTGGGAGAAAGGTAGAAGAAAGAAAAAGCATTAGGATGTAGGAGGAAATTCAGTGAATTCCAGGGACTACAGATGTCCATTCCACAGTATGGTCAGTTTTAAAAGAGGAATAAAAAGGAAAAGACTGGATCACAAAGAAGAAAACTATTGCGGGAAAGGAGTGAAGCACACGAAAAGTGTATGTTAGTCAAGAGAGCACAGGCCTTAACTCACTCTCCACATGCTGCTCTGGACTCTTTCCAGTTGCAGTCACCTCCACCTCTCCTAACCAACCACTGTGGCATTTCCTTTCCTCCAGGCCTTCTCCTTCATCTGTTGAGTCTACCCTTTGGTTTCTGCCTTTCACTCTTCTTTTTAACCTTTCCAAAAAAGAGCTTCCACCAGGTGACTGAACCTGAAAGTATGCACTTCACTTGATTCTCACCTCTCACCCAAATGCCACAGTCACTTGTTAGAAAACCAAGTCTTTCTTTGGAATACTTGTCTTGACTCCACCAGGCTTCAGCAAGGGAATTTCTTCATTGCCTCTATGGGAAAGCAATGGAAAGAAAAGCTGGGGGCGAGGGGGATGCCCCAAATGAGACTAAAAGTGCCATTGGACGCTGCCCAGGTCATATGATAAAGAACATTCAGGATGTATCTGTGTAGGACTAGAAGTACAAAGCAAGGACTATGTTTACCTTTTCTCTTAAGTCCATTTCGGTCTCAAGTGTGTTCTGTTGCACATTTCTAGATTCCTGCCCCATCCCTTTTTTTCCCATCTCAACTTCTCAGCTCCCTATTTCCCTTCCCTACCTGTATAGAGCTGTTCTTCCATTGTACGTAGAATAACACACACTCCCTTCAAAGTGGTTCATGTCCCAATTCCCAGTGCCTATAAATATATTACATTACAGCAGATGGTGTAATGGTTATGTCACTGTACTCCCACGTAGTTGACTGAGGTTCAAGTCTCAGATCTGGTGGCTTAAACTCACTCCAGGCATGTGTGCATGTGTGCCCAAAATCGCGAGAGGAGACTGGAGGAGGAGGGATTGCAGCATGACCATCCCCCCTGGGGGGTGATTTCTCACTTTCTGTCTCTCTGTCTCTCTGGCGAGTGCACGTGCCCTATAACAAAAATCTCAACTATATATATATATAAAACCCCTTATATATATTTATATACATATTTATATTTATTTATATTTATATGAAACATTACATTGTAAAGGGGAATTAAGGCTGCATGTGGAATTAAAGTTGCTAGTCATCTGACCTAAAGATAGACTATCAGGGATTATCTGAGCAAGCACAATGTAGTTATGAGTCCTTAAAAGTGAAGAGGTGGGCTGAAAAGAGGTCAGAGTCAGAAGTAGATGTGACATCAGAGGAGGTTGAAGTGATATGTTGTGTGAAGGACTCAACTCACTTTTGCCAACTTTAAAGATGGAGGAAGGGTCCAAGAGGCAAGGAATGCAGGCAGCCTCTAGGAGCTAGAAAAGACGAGGAAACCGGTTCTCTCTAGTGTTGCCAAAAGGAACGCAGCCCTGCTGACACCCTGGTTTTAGCCCAGGGAAACCCATTTCAGACTTCTGATGTCTGGAACAGTAAGACAGCAAATATCTCTGGTTTAAGCAACTAAATCTGTTGTAACATATTATAGCAGCTGAGGAACTATCTCAATCTCCTCAGGACACCCACAACTTTTCCCAAGGAACATAAAAAGGCATTAGGACACAAGCTTTCCTAGATAACTTGAACTGAAATAATGGGGTATTTAATCAGTTAATAGCAGATCTGTCAGCCAGTGACAGAGAAACCCTTAATAATGGTGATATAAACAAGATAGACACTTATTTCTCTCACACATAAAAGCTAGCCAGTTCACAGCTGGCATGGCAACTCCACTGAGTCAGTAAGGACCCAGATCCTTCCCACTGACCCTGGAGTGCTCATTCTAGAGGTTCAAGATGGAGCTCCATGGCCAACGCAGATGCCTTCCAGGTCAGTAGCAGGAGGAAGGGGAGGCGAGGGGCACATCCCCTCCTTTAAAGAATACCTTTGCGTAGATCTCATTGGCCAAAACTTAGTCAAATAACTATACCTAGCTGCAAGAGAGGCTAGAGAATGTATTTTTGGCAAAATATAAAAATAACCAGTTAAAGTTTGGGGTTCTTATAGTCTATGTTTTAAGGAAAAAAAAAAAAAGAAAAATTTTCATTACTGTTGAAGAAGGCAGGCAGAGGCCATCCACTGGTGTGGTGGTTAAGGTGGCTGAATCCCACATGGCTAACTCTGCAGTTCCAGTCCTAGACCCACCAGCTTGAAAAATATCCAGGGAACGCGTATGTGTGTGCCCAAAATCTCGAGGGCAAATAGACGAGAGGTGACTGTGAAGTGGCCACCCCCCAGGGGGTGCTTTTGCACTTTCTTTTTCTTTCTCTCTCTCTCTCTTTCTCTCTGGTAAATGTATACACCTTGTAGCAAAAATGAAAACAAAACATTCTGTAAGTGTTTTAGAAGAATAGAGGCAGGGGTATTGGGAAGCAAGCCATAATTGGTGCCATAGGTCACTCTGGGATCTAGTTTAGATTCAAAGGCAGAAAAGTAGCTGGCCAGACTCCCAAAACTCCTTCGGCCCAGTGAAGATTTGATAATTCTGTGATGCTCTCCATTCTAGTGTGAGGAATCAGTTCTATCAATAGTTTGACCAAAATGTTCATTTCACAGAATGATGTTGAGGGGCTTGCAGATCATGGCTGTTTCCAACTTCGGATAAATGGAAGAGTTAGGCTACCCTACTGGATAAGTCAATACTCCCTCTTGGCCTGTGAAGTTGTGCTAGGCTGTTAGATGCTCATTTGATTATGGGGCCTGTAATTTCCCTGTGGGGCTGAGATGATTGGGTCCCTAACCATGCTGATGAAATCACAGTTGTTAAAGTCTCCTTTTATTTTTTTGCTTTCACATGCAGTTCTTACTCCCTTGATCTTGAAGCATACAAAACAAGGTTCAAAGATCTTTGTGGCTTCAAAAAGGCCTTCGATCTTCCCTCCTACTTAATTGTCTCGAAGCCCTTTGAAAATAAGTTGAGGAAAGAGTTAATTATCTGCCAGTTCACACTGTAACTGCTGTGGGGTGGCTTATTTTGCAGCATGTTTATAAATTGACATTCTCTCCGAAAGGACTTTATGTTTATAAGAGTTATACATAATTTCTTCCATGGGCTTGAAGAAATAGATATCAAGAAGTACATGCCAAAGGAGATCATGGAAAGACTTTTGTCTTTTTGATAATTAAAACCAAAGTTGTTTCTTTATTTTAGTGGTTAAGTAAAAATCTCTATATAGAATTTATTACAGAGTTCTCTTCTTTTCCCGGGTTTTCTATGTATCCTGGATCCTTTTAGAAAGCTGATTCTACTTCATCCTAGAGAAGATTTCCCAGAACTAGCAGACATCATGGTTTTAATATAACGTCTTCAGAACAAGACGCGGCTAGTGTTGACAAGGTTGTGTTCATGCTCCTCATTCTTGGGTCGTGACTCCAGTTAAATTGAAGCGCTCAGATATTACTTCACCATTTGATGTCACTGACCTCAAGGGGCATGTTTACACAGATGGTACCGAAATAGCCTATGGCACCTTGGCATGGGGCACGCTCAGAATGTGGGGAAAATAGGAACCGAAAATAAAATGCTTTCCAGGATGAACAACACAGTGAGATGGTGGTTTAAGAAGGGATTAGGAGAAATAAAATTGAGATAGGACTTGAAGGGGGTATGCAGGGCACAGCTGGAGAGGCAGTCCAGCACAGCCAGAGCAAACTGTCTCCACCTTGACACATTTGTTACATTTCCATGTTTGTAAAATACTACGTCTGTGATAATTCATTCAGAATAACACTGGTCAACTAACTGATACGCTGGGTCATTGGAAAAGTCATGTCATATTTTTCCATGCCCAAGTGCATCACGACTTCTGTGACGACCCGATATTTAAGTATTTAGACATGACAATTCTTTTCCCTTGACATTATTTGGACATGTTCCTGAAGAATTGTGAATAAAGTGGATGGTTGTGAATCAAGCCCTGTTTCAAACACAGTGGGAAAGAACAGCTATGTACAACAACCTTGGATTAAGCAACAATGAAAAGTCAAGCCTCCCATTGTAGTATACAATAGGCAGAGGGGGACATTGGTAACCAAAAGGTTGGGGTTCGAGCCTATGGAGAACACATGATCATCTTGAAAGCTTTCGTCCTAAGGAGGCCAAAGTTTACCGCATTCACCTCTCTGCTCACCTTTGACGCCTCATCCTGTGAAGATCTTTAACACAGTATCTAGCAATAGCAGCATCCAACAGACAACAACAGTGACGGTAAAAGTGCCCACTGTCACCTTAACCATTTATAACATCTTCATAAATTATGATCCTTTGAACATCCTGTATTTTGTATAAACTGCAGTCATTTGAATATCTTGTATTCTTTATAAATTGTGATCATTTGCCTCTCTTGTATTCTTAATGTAGCAGCTCCTCTTATTCCACCTGATTTGGTAAACATTTCTCTTTTTTTCCTCTTACAAAGGGGAGAGTTGGAGTTGGAAGATTAAAACTTATCTTCTGGTGTGTGCCAATCAGACATAATGCTGACTGGGGGTGGAGCAGGCTGGAGCAGCTGGCCCTGGCTCACCCAGGTTTCAAGAGCCCCGAGTTATGACAGACCTGCACATCTCATACATTCTTCCTCCTTTTTTTTTTTTTCTAGTGTGTCTGAAAAGCCCATCCAGCACGCAGATGGCCAGCAACAACACCGCCAGCATAGCACAAGCCAGGAAGCTGGTAGAACAGCTTAAGATGGAAGCCAACATCGATAGGATAAAGGTGAGGACAACATCACCCCAGACACATCCAGCCTGATTATAAGGAGCGCCATGTGCAGCCATCTGTCATTTGACTGCTTTTCCATAGAAAGGATGAAAACAGTAATGATAAGAAAGAAGCTTAATGATTAGGCAAATCTTCATTGTTCTAATGTGTCTTTGCCTTCTATAGAGTTTTTCATGGACTGATGATATAAGTTAAAACAAGTTCTCTATGTAGATTTAAAAACAAAACCAAACTAGGCTAACCAGGTGGAGTGAAGGTTAAGGTGGCTGAATCCCACATGGCCAAATTACAGTTCTTGTCCTGGACCTGATGGCTTGAAAGACACTCTGGGCATATGTGTGCACATGCCCAAAGTCCCAAGAGGAGCATGGAGAAAAGGGGACCGTGGTGTGGTCATCTTCCATAAGAGGTACTTTCTCTCTCTTTGTCTCTCTCTCTAATAAACACACCGTATATACCATATAGCAGATTTATAAACAAAAGAAAAAAGCCAAATACAAGCTCATGGTTGAATCTCAGCCAAGGAATTCAGAGGATACATAAAATATATCTGTCAACTAGTTCCTCTCCTTAACATTGAACAGACCTCTTCTTAGTTGGGTTTTTAACATTTTTCATCCTAATTCAGCCTCTAAGGTAAAGTGTCCGTCTTCTGTGTCTAATTCTCCAATCCACCCCTGCAGGTTATTATTTTTCTCTTTATACTTATTGATTTTTTTTCTCCAAAACACAAAAATCACACCTGGTCTTCCTAAGAAATCATGCAGCATAAAGGCTTAATAAAAGTTGTCTACTTCTTTCTTTCTCCCTCTTACTCTTAAGACCTACCCTGATAACTTTGCTATGAGTTGGGGCTTATTCATCTTGAACCAAGACTTTAACTCCAGGCTCTTTGATGGTATATTTTGAATGTTGGCCTACACAGTATCATTATCAGTAGATAACTATTCAAAACATTACTTCCAGAAAAGTAGATGCGTTACCCACGCATTTTATGAAATGGAACTCAGAAACATGTCTCATTTTACTAAAAGAAATCTATAATATTCTTTCAAATGCATTTTTAAAATTAGAATACTTCTCCTATTTTCTCCACACATGACCCAGCTACTTGGGCAAGCTAGCCATCCCTTGGAGTGTGCCAAGGTTGATAAACTGGTTTGTGAGCCAAATCCAGCCCACTGCCTGTTTTTGCAAATAAAGATTTATTAGAGCACAGTCGTCCTCATTTAAGTATTGTTATGGCTGCCTTCCCAGTGCAGCAGCAGAGCAGAGTAGCTGTGTCAGAGATCAGATGACCCATAGAGCCTAAGATATTTGCTGTTTGGCCCCTTTCAGAAAGTTCGCGGACCCCTGGTCTGAGCAATGGTTCTCAGCCCATCTGTGCCTTTACACCATCCAGAGAGTTCTATAAAAGGTCCATTCCCAAACTACACCAGACCAATTAAATGAGAAGCTCCTGGGGTATGATGTAGGCATGCCATTCATTTTTCTGTTTGTTTCATTTTGTTAACAATTCAGTTAATTCCAGTGTATAGCCAAAGTTGACAACCACTCTCCTTGGAGAGGTTTTCTCCTTGTAACTCCCAACATGTATGTACTAGAGAGTGAAGGGAGAGCTCTTCTTCCTCCATAAATAGTTGAGCAAATATGCCAGGACATCTCTCCATTGCTCGTAAACCTCCATTGTAAAACTGGACTCCACATCATGGGCCCCAAACGTAATCAGCTTCTGCTCTTTTTTTGACAGCTTTCATTCCTCTTCTTTGCTCATGCAAGTGATAAAGGATCCTTACCATCTGCCTTGCTCCTTTGCCACCTTCATCTTTCCCTCTTTCCTTGCCTCTTCTTTTTGACTCTGGCTGAGAAAGCATATTGACAGGTGAGAACAATAACTGCTGAGGGAAGGGAAGCAGCCCCAGCGTTGCAGCGGTCGCCTTCCTAGGTGGTTTTACATTGAAATCTCGGGCTCCTTCTTGACGTCATTAGACCTTGTTGGAAACGCAGCAGCAGCCTGTATTTCAACATTTGTTCTGCACCTCAGAGTCAGGCAGGCCTGCTGTGGTGAAGTGACAGATTATTTTTAGTTTAGCTGTTGGGTAAAACTGTGACTGCACTGACAGAGTTGTCAGCTAGCTGGTTTAGGGCTTGGTTATCTGCCTTGAGGAGTACCTTCAAGGATTCCACGCACATAGCCTTCTCCACCTACTGTCCACGCACAGTCCTGTCAGCAGAAGGGAGCTTCTCTTGCAAAATCCTAGGTTTGTGATTTTCCAATAGGAGTGGTGACCTCTTCTGGCTATAAAGCGCAGTGAAGGCTATACACACACACACATACACACACACACACACACACACACACACACACACACACACACATATGGAATATATGGAGCTACTATGTCTGAGGGGACAAAGAATAGGACTCTCATAAAAGGAAATGGGTGCACAGCTGGACTGGAGCTGTTGAGGTCCCTTAAGCAGAGAGTGGCCTTATCCCTCACATGACTTACAGAATAACTTGTGCTGTGGAGAGCAGTCCTCTCGAACCTGAGTAGTATATTCCTTTTTAAACCTTGTTTCTTATCCCTTGGCATTATGGATCCTAAGAGATTTAGGCTAATGAACCCATTATCTGTTCATAAGCCTCAGGCACATGTAAATTATACTTCCAGCCTTTCTGTATTCTTTTGTTAGCATTTCATTCAAGGACAGAGAGTAAAGAGAAATAAAAGGAAAATAGGGAGGGGGACCAGGGAAAGGAGCAGAGGGTTTGTGGACTGTGACAGATATACGCAACAGCAATGTGTTACACGAACACTGAGCAAAGATGAAGGGGAAAGAAGGTTGTCCTCAGAGCACACGTGGAGGCAGTAAGGCCAGCAGGGCTTCACGAATCTCTTTATCCATCACTGTATCACGACTCTGGGTTTCTAAATACAGGAGCATAAAGCAAACTAGCACAAAGAGAGAACTGATTATAAAAGATACAGGGTGTCTTAGAATTCAAGAGCAAATGAGCAGTGAAAGTGAGAGGTGGGAGGCCACTGGGAACTGCCAGAGCTCCGTCACAGGCCTCTGCTTCTCTGTGTGCCTATCTTTGCAGAGAAGAGTGGATTTCTTGGCTGCCTGGTCCATACTGCAGACACAAGGTGGCTGACTTATGGCTGCCAAGAATCACAGCTCTCAGTGCCAGCACCATGAAGAAAGAGCTAGACTGATCCAGACCCTATCATTTTCCATGCCATGGTCCTAGAGCAGCATCTCTATTCGAGTGAGAATGAGCTGATTTTAACTTCAGTCAGCTGATATTAGAATGAGCCATGCTATATGGACATGTCTCCTAGGGATTAACAAACGTAAATAGATGGGAAGGTGGCAGATCATTAATGGGGGCTGGAAATAACTGCAAGCTAGAAAGATGGTCTTTGATAGAGTTTGCTCTTAGCATTATGAAAAATAATGTAGATATAAGAGCAAAAGAAATGAGGCCAGCAGGTGGCATGGTGGTTAAAGCACTAGACTCCCACATGACCAACCACAGTTCAAGTCCCAGACCAGTGGCTTTCTCACTCCCCTCTCCGTACCCCCACCCCATCTATCTGGTGAGTACTCATGTCCTGCAGCAAACTGAAGAAAAAAAATAAAGATAAATTAAATTAAATAAATAATTCTTTTAAAAAGTGGCATGGTGATTAAGGCGCTGGACACTCCCATATGGCCAACCATGGTTTGAGTCCTGGACCTGGTGGCTTGCTTTCTCACTTTCTCTCTCTCTCTCTCTCTGTCTCTCTCTGGTCTAATCAAAATAAATAAATGAATAAAAAAATAAATTAAATAATAGTTCTTTAAAAATTAAATTAATAATTCTTTTAAAAAATTTTAAAGAGCAAACAAAAGCAAATACCAGGAAAAAGAGTGGAATAATTGTTTCTCAATGAATTGGGTGTTCCATAAATTGCCTCCAAATGTATTTCTCATTTCTCTCTAATATTCCTAGAAGACCTTTTTGACTAGTTCTCCTTACTGTTCCAAGAACGTGCTAGGCAAATTCCCACCTTTCTGCTCTCACTACGTCCGTCACTGGGAATACTCTTCAAGGCTGACCCACATGGGAAGGTTCCAGAGTTCCATCTGGAGACTCCCTGAGTTCTCTGGGTACATGTGTGCCCATGAATGGGGCTGAATGAGCTGGGATTGGATCACTATGTCAATACCCTGTCATACTGTTTCTCTCTTTGTTTTTCTGTGTCTGTTGCTCATGGAAAGAAAGAAACAAAATTTAAAAGAATGCTAAATTGGTTCATGTGATGTGTATGATCATAATAGCTAGCATTTATAGTGTGTCTATTTTTTTGACACAGTTCAACATATAAAACAGATTGATTTTTGTAACTAACAAATACATATAAGTTAATGAACTAAATGCAAACATCTCTGGTGATTAAATCATCTTTCTGATGATTCAGTTCACACTAGACTGGAATTAAACTTCAGAGAATGTCGTACTAGGAATGGGCCAGTAGACACTATGCTTGGTATTAAAGAGAGGATGTATACTCTAGATTAGATTTTTTAAGCTTTTTTCCTTCATTTGAGTTGACATTTTAACATTCCTTTTCTAAAATGCTTGCCTTTAGTTTTACTAGAAAGAATGGGATGCAATCTCCCTTATAGGCCAATTGAGAGTATTTTGAGGAATGATGAAATCAGTTAAGTATATCAAAGGACTTACACAGGAAAAGACTCTGTTCAAAGATAGCCAATCCTAATGCATTTAATTTGCTGAAAATAAAACCAAAAATTTTAAATTCAATTCAAGTGTACATTAATGATTATGCATAAAACTTCATTTTTATGAGGACTGATATCATTTTAAAATTCAGTATATATTTGTTAAGCACTTAGCAGCTATAGATTAGTACCTCGTAACTTGAAATCTCTGGGAAATGAATTTTTCTATACAGCCTAGTTTTCAAACCAGATGAAATCTC